AGCCCTTACAGCAAATGCTGCCGCTGATATCAACACATATCTAAATGATACGGTATCAGTTCCTCGAAAATTAGCAAATTATGAGACGTTTTTAGCTATGAATTACGCCCCTTTATATAATTCTTCCCAATATTTCCGTCGTAATGGTCTAGGTTTGGGCTCTTTAACTGGCACTTATTCAGGGTGCGCGCAGCTTGAGGTAAATTCTCAGCTTATCCCATCATATCCTTTGACTCTTCCACAAGTCTATCAAGAAACGCTAAAGGCTTTTAATCTTCTATCTAATGATAAGGGAATTCATAGCGCTATCAAGGATATTTCACACTATGAAAGGGACTTTTTTGTTGGGGCTTTTGCATTGTCTCATTTTAATCATAATGATTCGCAATATCTTATCTCTGGGTTTGATAGTGCCAGCACATCGATTCAATTGGCTCTGCATGTGACAAATAACAGAACAGCTGACGCGGCGCAGAGTGGGACCCCCGTTGTGTTTACGTCAATGGACGCAGTGCTCAAGGTATCATCAGGCCGTCAAATTTTGCCGATATTCTAAAGAACTTGAAAATTTTTAAACATCCGCACCTTTTTTTTATACATCAATTATTAAAAAGATGATTGACAGCGTATTTCAACCCAATGGATCTTATAGATATTATGAAAGGCATATTGAAATTAATGAGAAGAATGATAAGAGTTTTAATGTTGCGCGCAAAATGGAGAAACCGGCAAGGTTTAAAAAGGCCTTTCCATTCGAGATAAATAATATCAACCCAAGAATCCAAAAGCCTTTTTGGCTTGATTATCGTCCACCTGAAGTTTTAAGGGCTCCATACGATGAACATAATAATTTAAATTTCAGTCCTTTAAGATCAATTAACGATAAGCCTATTCAAGTCGGCAATAAATTAGTTTCTCCTAGTTCTATTAAGCCTTTAAGGTATGGCAGATAATACAGATTTTTATTGATTATTTTTATCTGTTATTTCTATAAAATGGGTAGAAATAGCAAGCAAGCGCAAAATGTCGATATTGAAGCTTCATCTATTGATGAGGTTGAAGAACATATCGAGCAAGAACCACAAGAATTACAAGAACCACCAAAACAAGCAAAAAAAAGAGTGATGACACAAGAGCAATTAAATCATCTTGCAAAATGTAGAGAATTGGCAAAACAGAAAAAGCAACAATTAGCCGAGGCAAACCCAAAATCAAGATTAAATAAACAATTGAAACATAAGGAGGTTCTAGAGCAAGCCCAAGAGATCGATAAATTAGTTGATCAAAAGATAGAACAGCAAAAAAAGGCATTGCCTCAAGACTTTATAATAAAAGATGCCAAATATTACAAAGAGAAATATAACAGATTGAAAGCAGATTATAGAAATCTACAGAGCACACCACAACAACAAACCACACCATCAATCCGATCACAGATAAAAACAGAGAGCGACAATAGCTTAAGGCAACAGCTAGAGCGTGAGCGTCTCCGCCTGTCAGCAATGAATCTATTTGGCCATTCAAATTTTTTGTAACGTTCTAATAAATGACTGATATCGAGACAATACAAATAAAATATTTGGACAATAGACCTAAGCCCTTTAAAAAGTTGATCTATCCGCAGACTGACAATAATCTACCGAAGCCTTATTGTGTATGTCTTGCTGTTGGCATGAGAGGCTCAGGGAAGACTTACGCAGTGACTAAGATGATAAGCAACTTTGAAAAATTTGGTTATATTGATCCTGAGACAGGCGATAAGGTAGCAATTAGAACTATTCTATTTAGTCCGACATACGATGCGAACCCTGTTTTTACTGTCTTAAATAGCTTAGACGATGATGATATAATAAATGAATTTACAGAAGAAAAGTTAGATGAGGTTTTAGAGGATATTAAAAGAGAAGCAGAAGAGACAGAGAAATATTTAAAATATAAAAAGGCTTATCTGAAGTTTCAGAAAACGCCTTTATCAAAGATTGAATCAATGGATCCCGAAGATCTGCAGATGTTATTTATCAATGATTTCAAGAATCCCAAGGACTTACCAAACAAGCCAAGATATCCCAATGGGGTTGTCAATAATGTAATTCTAGATGATTGTTTGGGATCTAACGCATTTAAGAACAGCCGCAAAAATTCACTTGTTAAAGCAATATTGAACTCTCGTCACATGCGCTGCCAGTTCTTCATTTGTGCCCAGAATCTGAAAGCAATCAATAAATCAATAAGAGTCAATACATCGGTTTATGTTCTGTTCAAATTTGCCTCAAAAAAAATCGTGATGGAAGACATTTACGAGAACATATCAGGCTTGATAACAATTGAAGATTTTGAAAGATTATATGAGTTTGCAACAGCAGATAACCCACACGATGCGCTTGTTGTAGATACAACACAGAAAAAAGAGAATGTCTTCAAGCTTAATTTTGATCGTATCATTAGATATAAAAAATCTAATTCTAATAATAAAGACGCTAGCAATGATGGAGGAAACAATAACACAAACGGCAGCAATTGATGCCATTGAACAAGAGAGGGAAGAATTGCCATATGATAAAGAATTGTATAAGAAATATTTTGACGAGGCAAAGAAACGATTTCCTAATTTAGATGATTTCTTAATTCATTTAGGTTGTGTCAATCTATTGATGAACAATGAAATAAATGATGACAAAGGGGATCAATTGCAAAAATCATATTTCAAAGGTGAAATATATGAAGGCATTCAATTATGCCCTATCGAGGCACAAGAATAAAATATGGATATATAAATAAATGTCTGGGCAATATTTCAAATTGAAGAATAGTTATATCATAGATATTGATAGCTCAAATATTCAAAGCTTTGAAACTTCGCAGTATTCCAATAAGGGGAACCCTCCGCAAATATCCGATTTTATCAATGATTATAGAATTCATCTAAATATTCCTGTTGAGTTCTCACGAAATTGCAAAATTGCAATAGATGAATTTGATTTAAAAATACTCTTAGCACATAATCAGAATGAATTTATTGTCGAGACTGTCAATCTATTCACTCCGAGCATATCAGTAAAAAATCAATATCTATCTAGCAATAAAGCACATTTAAAATTATTTAGCAAATACTTTGATAATCAGCATCAAGTCGTCACTGTAGGCACTGGAGCAGGCGGTTTTGCATCTCAACCTTATCAAAGCTTGATATATCACTATAAAAATAATGATTTGGAATTGAATTCATTTGAATTAAGATCAAGCGATTTCGCAAAAAATGAGTTAGTCTTAACATTTCAAAACAAATATACCATCGTTGGATCTGCCGATATTTTACTAAATTATGGCTTAGTCAAGGGTTCAGAATTTAATTTAAGATTGATCATATATGACTATGATGAAGACCAAGTCAATTATACACCGCCAGAGGCAACAATCAAAAATTTATTGCCTATGAGCAACACAGGCATAAATAAGATTGCTTAAGGCCTTGCACCCGCTGCCATTGATTGCGAATTCTGATAATCATTTAATAGAGATAAATAATGTAGCTTTGTTTCTTGATTTGTGATAAGATTTTGATCAAGCGCAATCTCTAGCAATTTATACATTTGATCACCGAAACGATCAAATGTTCTTTTTTGTGTTGCTGATCGACGATTTTCATTGAATGATCTTATGAATCTATCATAAGCACCCCTATCATTTGGAGTTGTTAAAGTTCTATAGAATTGATTAAAATTTTGTGGCAACTGTTGATTTTGTATGATGCTGGCCCTTGGTGATGCTGGCGGGGGTGGTGTTGGTGGTGGTTGTGGTTGTGGTTGTGTTGTTGCTGCTGGTGCTAGTGCTTGCGCAGGTGTTGGGGGTGGGAATGGTTGATATTGTTGAGTTGCAACTGAACTCTGCGATGCTCCACTTGGCAAAGCCGAGCCTCCGAATTGTAATGTTTGCGGTGTCGGCAATGTTCCAGCAGCTGGAATTGGTGCGGGTTGCTGCGGTGTTGCTGGTGGCATGGGTTGCATGGCTGGCATGGCTGGTTGATTGATTAGATTATTAAGCATTTGATTTAAATTAGTCTGTTGTCTTTGTACATCTTGATAATAATTTTGCATGTCTCGGCTTAATGTTTGATACATTGAACGACCTTGATCATCAATCCTTCTTATCTCATTAAAATTAATAGATCCGAAAGGGTCAGATATAACCCGCATGCCATGCCCATAAGACATCTGATTTGTATTGGGTGGCAATCTCAGCCCAGCTGTTTTTTTTATATTTTGTGATTGCTCATCACAACATTGATCATTTTTCGATGCAAGATTGTTTTCTATCTTCACATTTACAATAAGCGGTTTTGAGGATGTTTTATTTTGTGTTACCATAGCGGGGGTGCGTCCCCGCGCGCCGCCTTTAATATTACCAGAGATATTTTTATGCTGTCTATTTTGTAATGCTGTCATTTAGTATATCTTCACATATAATAATGAGATTTATAATGTGTTGATAACTAAAATACGCATTAATCTATATAGATATAATTTTAATCTATCCGTCGCAGGGGGGCGGAACCCCCTCGCTATTTATTTTATTTTTGGACCATTTATGTTATACTCTCAATAATCGAGGTTATTGTTCTTGCAACCTGACCATTGAAAAATAGAGTAGAACCAGAACTAAGACTACCCCAGAATGCACCGCGACCATCATTTTCATATATAACGTGTCTTCGCGATTTGCCACCAGCATAGGTGCTCTCAAAAAACATATAACAGCTGCTATGAACATTGGGGTCACCAAAGTCACCAGCCGCTTGATAGCTTGTTATTCTGAAAATATAAACATCATCGCCTGCGGTTGCTGACTTATTCACATAATTCCTAAAATCGAGGTTATATTGATAATAATTGGCCGATTCAGTGGTGAATGTTACAGTGGTTCTCCTACAAACAGATGATGACATCACCCTGCCAATCGCAACATCGCCATTCATTGTGGCACCTGAACAGGTAATAGCTCCTGATGATGACACAGATGAACAGCTAACGACTCCTGATGATGACACAGATGAACAGCTTATAGCTCCTGATGATGACACAGATGAACAGCTTATAGCTCCTGATGATGACACAGATGAACAGCTTATAGCTCCTGATGATGAGACAGATGAACAGCTTATAGCTCCTGATGATGAGACAGATGAACAGCTTATAGCTCCTGATGATGAAACAGATGAACAGTTTATAGCTCCTGATGATGAGACATTTCCAATAACATTAAAATTTCCTTGACATTGAACACCATCAGCGAAATCGTTGTTATTATTTAATTTTAGGTATGTATCATTACTTGTTAATGCAATTTTATTATTTAAGATAATCAATCCGTCACATCTAAAGTTATATTTTGTATAAACACCGCTAGTAAAATCCCCACTTTCATTTAATCTAAGATATGTATCATCTGTACTGTTTCCACGTATAGCATCGCGGCCGTGTATAGATATTTTATAATCATCGAATGAAAAGCATTCAAATACTAAATCTGGATTTTGTGAAGAATTTATCTTTCTTAAGGCAAGACGAGCCTCACCATCATTATGAAAATCAAATGATAACTTGTAATTATCACTTGTGTCTAACTGGCGAATATAACACCAATCATTTATGGTCCCATTACGTTTTAATGCAAAATATGTCCGTCCAAGATTAATAGCATCAACCGAGTTATCTGGGTTATATACAGCATTTCCACCTGCCACCCCGATACATCCATTTACATCAAAAATCTCAGTTGGGTAACTGGTACCAATCCCAACAGTACCCATATAATACAAACCATTTGGATTCAATGTCCAAAAAGAATCACCACTATTACCAGCTCCTATATTTAATAAAAAGGAGTCAATTTCATACTTAGTATAGTAATTTTGAAGATTAACATCAAATTCAGTTATATTTGTTCCATTTTTGAAAATGTTTCCCGTTAATGCAATGTTTCCATTACATATGAAACCAGCAGATTTTAATGTGCCTGTAGTCTCAATATTAACAGTTGAGGAAATCTTATCAATACCTATTTTTAATCTTTCTTGGGCATTCTCAAATATATCTGTTGAACCAGTCTTTAAAATTATGCTACTGCCGCCAGAACAAGAACTAGATATAATAAAATTATTTTTCTCAATGTATAAAGCCACATTCTCAGGCTCGTTTATATTATTAAAAAATATATAAGGTACATCTTTAATTTGTTTTTCTTCAATATATGTTGAAGCCTTGTTATCTCTGATTAAATCGAGTTCAGCATCTGTTAGATATCTGTTATAAATTCTAAAGTCATCTATATCGCCACTATAGAAATTTGCCCCTGTACCATATCCAAGGTATAAGGTCGTTTTATTTTGTAAGTTATTGTTAGCGACTAAATCATCAGAATATTCAGATGAATTCAGATTGAACCCATATCTAAAATTTCCTAAAGCTGTTATCCTAAATGAAATATGAACCCATGCATTAAGATAATTAGATGGGTTTGATTTTACTAAATTCACAACTGTTTGCGTGCCATTATTTATAAAACCAAAATTAACTGTTCCGTTAGTTGATGATAAACGAATAATAAGACCATTTGAGCTATTATTTACAATCGAACATATATAATTGCTGCTCCATGTTGCAAACCTAACAAAAAAGCTTATTGTAACATCTCCATCTAAAAACGTGTTTCCTGTTATGTTCTTTAGAAAATATTGATTTGATGACCTATTAAAAGTCGCACACGATGAACCATAAGCAGATTGGCCACCATAGGACGGGGCCGTAACAGATGATTGCAAATTATATGTGTCTCCTAATGTTCCATAATTCTTAATAATGCTATAGTCTTGGTCAAATCTGTACCATAAAATAGGGAATTTACTAATATTTAAACCACTCTCTAATTTCAGATATGATAGACTGTTATCAGATTTTAAATGAATTGAGGCTCCAAAATTATCTAATTGCAGTTGACCATCAATAACTTTAAACTGTTGATTCACAGATTTTATGTATTGGTTTGTTGTGCTTATAGGTATATAATTCAAAGATAATCTATTTTCTGATATTTCAAAATACTCTGTATTAATAGACTGTATATATTGGTCTGTCGATGAAAAGAATGAAGGCTTATCATCTAAATCATTATAGCTTATAATTTTTGTAAAATTTAGCTGATTATTATCAACATTGAAATCCGAAGAAACAGTCAATATTATATCTGTAGGAAAATTTGTTATTTGATTATATTCAAAACTAGTTGGTATATCTGATATTGTAGCGTAGTTATTAGCTGTTAAATAGGCTTGTGTGTCTGTATCTGTATAAGCCGTTGGTATATCTGATATTGTAGCGTAGTTATTAGCTGTTAAATAGGCTTGTGTGTCTGTATCTGTATAAGCCGTTGGTATATCTGATATTGTAGCGTAGTTATTAGCTGTTAAATAGGCTTGTGTGTCTGTATCTGTATAAGCCGTTGGTATATCTGATATTGTAGCGTAGTTATTGGCTGTTAAATAGGCTTGTGTGTCTGTATCTGTATAAGCCGTTGGTATATCTGATATTCTAGCATAATTATTGGCTGTTAAATATGCTTGAGTTTCAACGTCGCTATATCCTGAGTTAGCAATGACATTATTTATTTTCTCATCTATTTCTGCATTTTTGTATGGGTGTGTATATCCTATTATTTGTAATGGTCCATCTCCTAAATAATCAAACTCTTTGTTTATCTCATCTTGAGTTAATGCCTTACTGTATATCTTCAAATTTTGAAGATTTCCAATGAATGGGCCAATTTTTATTTGACTGCTTGTCAATGTTAAGCTTGTTGTCGAATTCGTTATTGTCTGTTTCACTGAATCAATATAACATTCTGATGTCAAATCATTTTTTTGAAATACAAAATGTTGCCAGTCTGACACACTATATTTTCCAGATACAATAGATATATTATTACCATTATCAAAAGTAAAATAAAAATCACCATTGTTTCTCTTGATATATATCGCATTATTCAAACTAGTTATAATTTTTTCATCATTTTGTGTTCTAAATCCAGTTATTTTTAACCAAAAGCTTATACAAATATCATTATTTGTGCTTGTTATTAGTGGCACAGTTGATGATGTTTCTTTTATTGCAGGAGTTGTTACATTTAATGATAATATGCTATAGTTTAACCTTACGACATCGTTATTCTGAAATGAAAAATCAGAATAATTTGTCAATCTATTGAACTTTATGATTACAACTCCATCGCCTCCTCTTCCTCCTGCGAATGTTGAACTTTTACTACCACCACCACCACCACCCAAGCCATTTGAACCAGCCAGTGGACCCATTGATATTGTACCACCTCGACCTCCACCACCACTGCCACCTAAACCATACGTTGAATCGCCCCCGCCTCCTCCACCTCCGCCATAAGTGATATTTGCACCTCTTAAATTATATGAAGAACCAGACCCGCCATTTCCTCCTCGTCCTAACGAGGCAATACCACCAGCACCACCCTTACCACCACCGCCACCCGCTGCGGATGTAGTAGATGCGGAGCTATATCCTCCATAGTTTCCTTGACCAGTTACCCAATTGCCACCATACGCAACCCCTATACTCCCACCACCAGACCCACCACTACTACCATATTTACTCGTTAAACCACCCCCTCCGCCGCCGCCTCTAGCTTGATTTGTATCATATTCACTATTATAACCTATCACACCATTACCATTACTTATTCCACCAGCTCCACCAGCTCCGACCTTTATTATTTTAACTGTCCCACTAGATACAGATAAACCCGTAAGGTAAATAATTCCTCCAGCTCCTCCACCTCCTCCATTGCTTCCACCACCACCACCACCCGCAACAATTAAAACATCAATAATCATTGTGTCATTAAAAGTTATTGTGGCAATAGATTGTGTTGGTGAAACACAAGGAAATAATATATAGGCATAATTAGTATCAATATTATTTATGGTATATGTAGGCGATGTTGTAGGTAATATTGCATATGCACCAAATGACTTAGTATTCAAATCATATCCATTTATTGAATCTTTTGTGTCATTATTGAACTTATACCATACAAACAAAGAAGGTGTAATATCAACATTGTTATTTTTTTTAACTAGATATGAAGCATTAGATAATGTTTTGTAAAAATAAATATCATTATAGATATTGAAATCATATGTTGATATTCCTAATTTTAGTTTGATATTTTTGTTATAGAAAATATTAAGATTATTGTCGCTTGTGTTATAGGTATTTATAACCCCTTCACCGCCTAAAATAAAAACCTTATTACTTAAATCTAGATAAAAGTCATCTGTATCAAATGAATATACTGTTCCGTCTCCTCCTGCTGGGTTAGGTAATATTACGTTTTGAGATGAAACACTTGAATCGCCAAATCTTACTAGCTCATTATTTTGACTATCGAATAATATTATCTCTGGACAATTGATGCCGGCTTGACCTGCTGCACCTGTGGCTCCGGTTGGTCCTGTTGCTCCTGCTGGTCCTTGTGCTCCTGTTGCGCCTTGGGGCCCTGTAGCTCCTTGGGGTCCTGTTGCTCCTTGGGGTCCTGTTGCTCCTTGGGGTCCTGTTGCGCCTTGTGGTCCTGTTGCTCCTTGGGGTCCTGTTGCTCCTTGTGGTCCTGTTGCGCCTTGGGGTCCTGTTGCTCCTTGGGGTCCTGTTGCGCCTTGTGGCCCTGCTATACCATCAGGCAAGGCAATGTTAACATCATACTGTCACCTTAACATGCAATTGAAACATTCCCGTC